CAATGTTGCCTCCTGTACACTCCCCAACGGAGATCAAAGTCTCAATCTAGGTATATGCCCTGATCAGGAATCAAACCTGCAACCATTTTTGGTGTACGGGACAATGCTCCAACCAACTGAACCACACGGCCAGGGCTTTCTAGTGTATCCTTCATTTCAGATATTGTATTCATCTTTCTTTTTTTTTTTTTTTTTTTGGTACGTGCCCCTAGCGGGAACCAAACCCGGGACTCTCTGGTCCGCAGGCTGACACTCCAACCACTGAGCCAAACTGGCCAGGGCTGTATTTATTTCTGACTGGTCCTTTTTTATGCTTAGTATCTCTTTAAGTTCTCACTGAGTTCATCCACTCTTCCCCTAACTTCCTTGGGCACCCTTATAACCATCGTTTGGAACTCTGTATCTGGTAGATTGCTTACTTCCATTTCATTTAGTTAGTTCTTTTTCTGGGGATTTCTCCTGTTTTCTCATTTGGAATATGTTTGTCTCCCCATTTTGGCTGCCTCTGTGCATTTGTTTCTGTGTATTAGGTCAATCTGCTACATACCCTAGTCTTGGTAGGGTGGCCTTATGTAGCAGGTGTCCTGTGGGGTGCAGTGGTGCAGTTTCTCTGATCACTTAGAATGGGTGCTCCAGAAGCATCCCTGTGTGGGTTATGTGAGCCCTCCTACTGTACTTGTCTTCACTGCTGTCTGTCCTTCCTTGGGTGGGGTTGACCTTCAGCCTGACTGACTGTGCTGCTTGGCCCCAACCACAGTGTATGAGCTGCTGTGCAAGAGCTGACCCCACAAAGCAAAATTCGCCCCAGGAGAACGTGGTGCTGCCAAGACCTCCCTCTGGGTGTGCCGCTTGCGGGGCTAATCGTCTCCCTGCACAATTTTTAACTTAAGTTTCAAGCGATGTCATTTGAGTTGATTGTTTCACTTATTCAACTGACTAAAATGATGCATATGACAATAATTAAAACATTTTAGAGATGTCCTTCCACCACTCACCCGGGAGACGCAGGCTTGGGTTTTTTTCAAAATCTGAAGCTGAAAACGCTTTTTCTAACTCATGCTTTAAGGGGGAGCATTTTCCAATAAATTACATCCTTTTTTTTTTTAATCAACACCTTAATGTTTTAATGATGTGGGCTAATTTAAAATAAAAACAGTACAGCCCTAAATTCTGCCAGCGGGATGCTCTGCTTCAGAAGTGGGCAAACTACAGCCTACAGCCTTTCTTGCACACCTGTGAGCTAAGAATGGCTTTTACATTCTTAAAGTGTGGTAAAAAAGAACAACAAAGAATATGGGACCGAGTACGTGGAAAGCAACGCCTAGAATATTTACTCTCTGTCCCTCAGCAGAAAAGTTTGCCGCCTCCTACTCGATTTCATAATGGAATTTTGAGTCTCACTAAACTAAATACCTTAACATGTCTAAATTTACATTTAAGGAAATGTATATGCTTTGTCTCTCCATTCCCCTGCTCAGTAGTCTCTTTACTAGCCACTTTCTTCACACCAAGTGTTTACACAAGCATTACACAATATACCGGTTGGTTAGAAAAACCATTAGAGGCTGAGCATGTCTTTTGTTTAGTAGCAAACACTGGAGCACAAGCATTTTTCCAACCGGTTGAAGTCCCACAATGGATTAGTAAACTGAGCCAATGAATGAATTAGTGAATCGGGCCTACGTGGACCAGAACCCACGACTTATGCCAACTTTTCCAAATGTACACATCCAATATTGCAGGAGGAGCAGAGACTAAAAACTATCAGTGCTAAATCAATAAACTGATTAATAATGGGCTGGAATAATATTCATCTAGCTTCAACAAGGATAAAACAGGTATGAGATGGTGACACAGAACTAAATTCAGTAATTGTGTGAAACATTTATGGATCTGACAGTAAGTTCTTCACCAACACATCACATGAAGTCACACTTAAGACTTTCAACAATTGGCCCTGGCCGGTTTGGCTCAGCGGTTAGAGCGTCGGCCTGCGGTCCTGAGAGACCCGGGTTCGGTTCCCGCTAAGGGCACGTACCTTGGTTGCAGTTTGCCCCCGGCCCTGGTTGGTCGTGCGGGTGGCAGCCACTCGATGTGTCCCTTTCACGTCGATGTTTCTCTCTCTCTCTCTCCCCCTCCCACACTCTATCTGAACAAAAAATAGAAAAAATGTCCTCGGGTGAGGATAAAAAAAAAAAAAAAAAAGACTTTCAACAATTGCCTGGCTGGTGTGGCTCAGTGGCTGAGCCTCGACCCAGGCCGGTTCGATTCCCGGTCAGGGCACATGCCTGGGTTGTGGGCCCGGTCCCCAGTGGGGGGGATGCAGGAGGCAGCCAATCGATGTTTCTATCTGTCCCTTTCCCTCTCTCTCTAAAATCAATAAAGAAAAAAAATTTTTTTTAAGACTTTCAACAATGAAACTAGTGATAAAACACATCTATGCACAAAACATCAAGAGTACATGAGACTGTGTGACCTAACCACACTGCAGAAGTCATCAGAAATTCTGGAAAGTGTATGAACCTATCAGTCTAATACATCAGCAAGAACTGTTTTCATTTCAGCACAACCAGTGATATGTGATATAGACCACAGACCACAGAGAGGACTAAAAAATCATCTTCCAAGCCCTGGCCAGTTTGGGTCAGTGGTTAGAGCGTCGCCCACGGACCAGAGTCCCAGGTTCAGTTCCCACTAAGGGCACGCACCTCGGATGCAATTTGTCCCCGGCCCCAAAGGGGCCGTGTAGGTGGCAGCCAGTCAATATGTCTCTCTAACACTGACGTTTCTCTCTCTTGCTTCCCCCCTCTCTCCCTTTTGCTCTATCTGAAGATAAATGCAAAAGTGACCTTGGGTGAGGATAAAAAAATAAAATATAAAAATCATCTTCCAAGACAAGCAGCACAAGAATAAAACCCGTCTCTATGCTAAAATGGAAAAGCTAGAGACCGTCTTTCCTTTAACCTATCAACACCTGAAAATAGTTTTTACTCAAAACTGAGTCCTCTTTATTCTCCCCAAATAATTAAACATTCTGCAAAAGAAATGAAAATTTAACACACTTACTTTAAATACATGAAGGGGTTAGATGAAAGGAGCAATCTTATTTGGACTACCTTACAGAGACTCAAAAGTTTGACCTAAGTTTATTATGATTATTATTATTATTTTATCCTCACTCGAGGACATTTTTCCATTTATCTTTAGGCAGATTAGGAAAGAGACACATCGACTGGCCACCCCCGCATGACCCCAACCAGGGCCCAAGACTAACTGCAACCAAGGCAAGTGCCCTTGGCAGGAATCAAACCCAGGTCTCATTGGTTCATGGGCGGACGCTCTAACCGCTGAGCCAAACTGGCCAGGGCCAAAGTTTACTATTTTTAAGGAGAGGTCTCTAATCAATCCAATTCTGATACACTGCATACACATGCCTGATATCAGAAACCAATTAGAAATAGACACATTTTTTCTATCCCTAAAGAACCATTTTAGTCCTAACTGTAAATCCCGAGGCTGCAAACCCACAAATGTCAGATTTTGAACACATTCTATATTGTTTTTAAGATGTCAATGCATTTCAAGTTCCCTTTACGTGCCTAACTTTCTGTAATAGTTTCATCCCAATTTCTAATATAATGCCATGGGTACACCACCACCAATATAATCAACATCCGAATGCTTCCATCACGAATTACGATATCAATAATTTCCCATGAGAAAAGGGGGCCCCGAAACCACTGGTATGCTCTACAGGGCTGTTCATTCACACCCAGGACGTGTGAGGCGTCTAAATCGCACGTTTATATCCGCCAAGTTGCTTCATCATCATTTTTTATTAGTCGTTTCTCATCCCAAACAATCCACGCAGAACTTGTCAGAAGAGGAAGCCTGGACCAGAGAACCACCGACTTTCCCGGGGAAACGACACCCTCCCCCTTACAACAGGCCGGGTCCTGCTCTCACTCTCCATTCCCGGGGTAAATGTCACAAAAGTACGTGCCGAATTCGTAATGCGAGAAATGCAAGGAGCCAGTGCCCGGGGTGCTCCGGAAGGAACTGTCAGGCTGCTTCGGGGCGGTCTGCAGTGCTCGGGGCGCACGACTGTGTCCCCAGCCACGACCCCCAGGAAGTCAAGCCCGGCCAACTGCGCAACTCAAAACGTGGCTCGAGGCAATGACGTTCTTGTCTCCAAACTTGCTTTAATGTTGGTTTGTTTTTTTTAAATGGGCAGTCGAAGGAGCGCATCGAACAAGCTCCGAGCCAGGCCCAGCAGGAAGGAGCCGGCCCGTTACCCGAAGCAGAACCGGCGACCGCAGGGGGTGCGAGGAGGAAGTTCTCAAGTCGACGCGGGCTGCTCGCTCGCCGGCGCCCCGGCCCTCCGGCCCCCCGGCGCCCCGGCCCCCCGGCCCCGGGCTCAATCAGTGCCCCTCTGCGCCGGCGGACGGCACCGCTCCGGGGGCCACACCGGGCCGCCGGCTGCGGAGCCGCGAGCCCCGCCCTCGCGCATCCCCGCCCCGAGGCGCCGCACCTCCGGAGGCAGGGCCGCCCGCCGACGGCTCCGGCGCGATCGGCCGGCGCGGCGGTCCCGACCCCCGCTCTCGGGGTCCGAGCCCCGCCAGCCCGCGCGCCCCGCGCGCCCCGCGCCCAATAGCAGCGCCGGCCGGTCCCTCGCGCACGGCCTCGTCCCCGCCTCCGTCTCCCGGGACAACTCCGGGACCCGCATCCCCACGCCCTGCGGCGCCGGACCCCGCGCCCGCGCCCGCCGCACTTCCGCCCGGGAGGCGCCCCGGCTACCGCCGCCCCGGCCCCCTTTGTCTCGCCGCCCCGAGCGCACCACCGCCGCGGCCCCCACCCGACAGGCGGCCCTTCCCCCACCGCCGCCGCCGCCGCCGCCGCCGCGGCCCGGCCGCTCCCCGCCCCCACGACCCCGCGGCCAGGCCGCGGCGCGGACACGGCCCCTCCCCCGCGCCCGCGCCCACCGCGCCGCAGGCCCGCACCTTGTCCATGAGCTTCCAGCACTTCTCCACCATCTTCTTGTCCACGGCGCCCGGCGGGTGCGGGCTGAGGTGGTGGTGGTGGTGCGGCTGGAAGGCGTCCTTCATGAGCCCGATCAGGCCGCCCGCGCCCGAGCCCCCCGAGCCGCCGCCGGCCCCGGCCCCCGAGCTCTTCTTCACGTTGCCAGCCATGGCCGGGGGCCCGCGGCGGCGCCGGCGCCGGCAGCGGGCGAGGGAGCGGCGGGCGCGCGGGAGGGGCCTCGCCGGCGCGGCGGGCGCAGGGAGCGCGCCGGGCGGCGGCGGCCGCGAGCTGGCGGCGCGGGGTCCTCATGCCTATGGGGGAGCAGCCCCCGCCAGGCACAGCAGCCCCCGCAGCGCCGGGCCAAGTTTCCGCGCCGCCTCCAGCAGCCCGACCCTCGGGGCGGAGCGGGCGGGGCCGCGGCTGGGAGCCGGCGAGGGGGCGGGGCCTGGGCGCGCCTGCGCGCTGGGCGCGAGCGGGCCTCCATGTTCCGTGGGCGCTGCCGGCGGGCGGGCGCGCGCGGCGGTGGGGACGCGGGGACGGGGCGCGAGCCGGCGTCGGGTCTGCGGCGCCCGTGGGGACGGCGCGGGACGACGGCCGCCCCTTCCCGCTCCAGGCGGTTGCAGCTCGCCCGGCCCGGCCGAGGACGCCCCGGGAGCGCTGCGGATCTGGACACGCCGAGACCCCAGGCGGGCGCCCGCAGGCGCGAGCTGCCGCGGCCCCGCGAGCCCCTCGACCCCGGAAAACGAAACACCCGCCCCCGTAGGTGGTTCAGATGCGCCTGCTCGGCGCGCCGGGCCCGCCCGCAGGAGCAGCTGAGCCGCGGCCGGGGAGGCGCCCGTGCAGTCCCGGCCACTTCCACTTCTCTGGTCTACGCGCTCCGCTGGAAGGACTTCGAAAAAGGAACTTCCCTCCCCAAGAAGGAAGTGCCCCGCCTCGTTGGCCCAGGCCGGGCCTCGGCTTCGGGAACTTGCGGGCCGGGTGTGCCAACACGGCCCCAGCTCCCCCGGGGACCCCTTCCTGACTGCGCCGCAAAACCGTTGGCTCATCGGGGACTTGGGCTTATCGGACACGCCTGCCAGAGGGGAACAGTGTCTGCGCTCCAGAGCCCTGCAGCCAGATGTCCTGGTTGGGCAACTCCGAGGCCTTTATCGAGGGTTGATTGCAAAGTCAACATTCTGATTTCCGACCAGTAGCATTTCCTCTCATTAGTTCCCACCTGGAAAGTTAGGACGCTCTCCCGAGGGGGAATCTAGGCAACGCCCTGAGATAATGGTCAAAATGAAAGTCCCTAGTGCCACCCGCTTGTCGCAGGCCTCGCTTTTCTCTCCCGGGCCTATGGAGACCATGTCCTCCCTAATTGTCCTGCTGCCTCCAGCCCATCCTGTCACCAGCCTGGTCATCCTAAAGCACAGTTCTGACAGCATCACAAAAAGACTTGACATGCTCCCCGTTCTTCCTGAATGAAGTTAAGAGTCATGATCTAGCTCCAAATTACCTTGCCGCTTTATACTATTCCCATGCATATATCCTGTGCTGGGTGACTCACCAAGTCACAAAATACCACAATTCTTTTTCTCTTTTCTTCTTTTTTTTTTCATAAGCATTACTCAGAGCATTCCTTCTGCTCTAAGGTGTGCTACTAAAATCCAGTCAATTCTTCACAAATAAACTCAAATAGTGCCCTCCCCAGACACTCCAGCAAGAAATAATCCTTCCCGCCTCTGAATTTTCATAACCGTTTGTTTCGTACACCTACCACCATCATCCACAGTGGATACACAAAGGTAATTTTGCCCTCTCATCGTCAAATCCTAGATTTAATGGACTACAGGTAAGAAATTAACCCTTGCCCTGGCCGATTTGGCTCAGCGGTTAGAGCATCGGCCTGCGGTCTGGAGAGACCCGGGTTCGGTTCCCGTTAAGGGCACGTACCTCGGTTGCAGTTTGTCCCCGGCCCTGGTTGGTCGTGCGGGTGGCAGCCACTCGATGTGTCCCTTTCACATCGATGTTTCTCTCTCTCTCTCTGTTCCCTCTCTCTCCCTCCCACTCTACCTGAACAAAAAATGGAAAAATGTCCTCGGGTGAGGATAAAAATAATAATAATAATAGAAATTAACCCTTGAAGCCTATATAATTTAATTAAGGAATGTAGCCCCAATACATTCGATAGAAAATAATTTTTTAAAGAAATTAACATCTAAAGCTGAGCTTAGGTCACCTGCACATCTCTGGCTTGGTTAAAGGCTTCCAGTTTGTGTTTTTAGCACGGTTTGTACAGAGGTATAATCTGCGCGTTGTTTCTGCCGCAGTAAGCGGTATTTCTTTTAATACACGATGACATCTCTCTCACACCTGAATAAAGCATAGTGACCCTTCTCTGTATCTCTTCAAAACTCCCAGATGTGTTCCTACTCAAAGGAAGACAGAGTTATGCTCAAATGATCTTTCCTATTTTCACTTCTAAATTGAATTAATAAAAAAGAAGGAAAGATTAGCCCTGGCTGGTGCGACTCCATTGGTTGGAGAGTTGTTCTGTACACCAAGAGGTCTCGGGTTTGATTCCCAGTAGGAGCATATGCCCAGATTGTGAGTTCGATCCCAGGTCGAGGTGGAGGCAACCGATGGATGTTTCTTTCTCACATCGACGTTTTTCTCTCTTTCTCCATCTCCTTTCTTCTCTCTCTAAAATCAATAAAACCACCCTGGCCGGTTTGTTTCTCTCTCTCTCTCTCTCTCTCTCTCTCTCTCTCTCTCTCCCTCCCACTCTATCTGAACAAAAAATAGAAAAATATCCTCAGGTGAGGAAAAAAATAATAAATAAAATCAATAAAACCTTTAATCAAAATTTTAAAGAGGAAAGATTGACCCTTTTCACAAGTTTTACTCGGCTTGCTTTCAAAGCGTACTGGAGATGGGATGGGATCGTTGATCACAATGCCATTCTCATTCCTGAGTTATTCTAAAGCTACAACGCAGGTTGTATCATGTCACGTGACATGTGGCACTTTTCTTATGCTATTTCACCTTCACCCCAAACCACATCCTCCTTCTGCACCTGAAAGTCGGTTGACTGAACATATTTGGAAAGCAAATGCTCTTCTGAGGCATGATATGTTGTTTGTATTCTGTGATCTCTGCCCTCAATATGTCATTCCACACATCAGCATGATGGAGACACTAACATTCCACGGGAAACGTCCCTGAACTGGCTTCTAGTGAGGAGAAGGAACCTCTACTGTGGAACAGGAACCTCTACTGTGGAACAGGAACCTCCACTGTGGGACAGGAACCTCTGCTGGGGGACAGGAACCTCCACTGTGGGACAGGAACCTCCACTGTGGGACAGGAACCTCCACTGTGTTCCTAAGCAGGAAGAGAGGGTTCTGGGGGGAGAATAAACAAAACATATGCTTCAGGATTAAAAGAAAAGTGTTCTGCCCTGGCTGGTTTTCTCAGCGGTTAGCGCATTGGCCCGCAGACCAGAGAGACCCGGGTTCGGTTCCCGCTAAGGGCATGTACCTCAGTTGCAGTTTGTCCCCGGCCCTGGTTGGGACCGTGTGGGTGGCAACTAGTCGATGTGTCCCTTTCACATCTATGTTTCTCTCTCTCTCTCTCTCTCTCCCCCTCCCTCCCTCCCTCCCTCTCTCCCTCCTGCTCTGTCTGAAGATAAATGCAAAACTGTCCTCAGGTGAGGATAAAAAAAGAAAGAAAGGTGTTCTCCATGTTTGGGAAGTGGGCACAAGGCTATCTGACCCTGAGCTACAGGATCCGCAAGCACCTGGAAGGACAAGACTAGTTCTCTTTACTCTGTCAAATGCCCACAGGGCCAGAGATGTGCCCTGCAGTCATGAAGGTGACAAGTCAGCATGAATCAGCCTCTGCTTGAATCTGCCTGCTCTCCAAAGGAAGGGTTTGTTGTGAACAACTCTCAGATGTCCTGGCTATATCTTCAGATCTGCTCCTGACGATAGGCAATTGACCGAAAACGTTGAAGGGGACAGAGATAGAAAGAAATAGCTAAAGAGTCTGAAGTTCCCTTAATCTACAAGAGAAAGAGCCCTGAAGTTTCTACTGGATTCATTCTAGTGAGTAAGGTGCCCAGAGATCCAGGTGGGAGACAGATTATAAGATTCCCCAGCGCCAGACTGGAGGGAGGTTGGGAGCTGCCCAACAGGGTAAGTCATCCTCCATACCCCCTTCCTCAAATGTGTTCTTCCTACCACTCGTCACCCTAGCAAAATGCTAGGAGGAATCCCCGATAAGGAAGCATCTCCCACATTGCCCCATTAATAATTTAAATACCCCGACTGGTGTGGTTCAGTTGTTGAGCATCGACCCTGCACCAAGAGGTCGCTGGTTCGATTCCTGATCAGGGCACATGCCCAGGTTGTGGGCCCGATCCCCAGGGGGGGCGTGCAGGAAGTGGCAAATCGATGTTCCCTCCCGTCGCTGTTTCTCTCTCTCTCTCCCTGTCCCTTCCTGTCTCTCTAAAATCAATAAAGAAAAAAAATGTTTTAATAATAAATAATGTAAATAGAAAAATTTAGGACACTCCGGAGAAGGTCAAGCAACTCCACTAGAGGGAGCCCCAACCAACTCAATACTGCCCAGAGCCAAAATAGTTTCTCAGCACCTGTGTGAAAATCAACCCCAGAAGGGAATGGGCAGAGAGAGGCAATAAATGAAGTCCCCATGAGAGGAGATGGCCCTGTAAATACCCAGTTAAAACCCAAGCCTTGCAAGATTTACAAAATCAAACATTTAGAGACAAGGAAACTGAGGCTGAGCAAAGTTAAATGGTTCACCCAAATTTCCATATCCAAAGGGGAGACTAGAACTCACAGCTCCTGTCTCTCACCAATGCCCTCGTCTACTTTGGGGTCCCTGCAGGTCAGCACCTGAAGCCCATGAGTCTACCTCTGTGTCTCCTTTCTCTGAAGGGGGAAACTCTCAGCTACCTTCTGCTTTTCTTTCCCTCACCCCCCACAGAATGCCTTCCCCGAGGGGATCTTCCATTCTAGGCCTAATAATGTCCTGTTGCTGCTGAGACCTCGGGATGTAAATTGCCCCAAATGGCTACCATCAGTCCTTTTGTTTTTGTTAACCCTCATCCCTATTGATTTTTAGACAGAGTGGGAGGGAGAGGAACATTGATGTGAGAGAATCACAT